CACCACAGGTAATTACCTCACACTGCTATTTTCTTTTCCAAATTCTCTCCTTTTTATTCAAAAGCCGGTCAGCATGCAAATCCGAAGCAAATAAATGCACAAATAGCAAGTAAGATGCATCAGGATGGTCTTTTTATTTCGGGTGCACCTGTCCTAGACAGACCCAACCCCTGTGTTGAGTTTCCAAAGTCAAAATGCACATTATGCAAACAAATGTTCCTACTAGGGATCCAGCATGAGGTATTGTTATACTAGGTTTAAAAACCTGGGTTTATTTGTTCTAGACCTGGCTTACCCGAGCAGATAGCTCGAGCCGAGGGGGGTAGCGTATTGGGAATACAGAAGCTTCACCGGCTTTGCAACTTGTCCGAACCTCGTTCTAAAATTTGGGATATGACTCTAATAGAAGAAAAGTCACACGAAGTGCACACTCCTCCATGATTTAGAAGACTCGGGGAGAAGAAGGGTTTCGTAGCAGTTTATATACAGTTCACGGAATATCAAAGCGGTAAAAGCAATCAATTAGCACATTAGGCCCAAATTATGTAACAAATTCAGATAATGGATAAAGCCAACTATAACAATTATTCTAAGCTCGAATTCTTGAACCTTGAACTAGAGATTCTGGGTTCGATCCCCAGCAGAGTCGCCAGAGCTGTCACACCTCCTTTTTACCTACACCCCGGAAGGGACTATAAAGGGAGTTTTTCCAATTAAAGGACAATCGAAATGGGATTTATTGTTAAAAGATTCAGAGTCGCCACTTGGGAGATTTATGGTGTCCCAAGTCACCAGTTTTAAATCCCAAATCGAGGAAAAATTGACTCTGTTTAACAGTCCGTAAACCAGAAATCCGGGTAAGGAATTCTGTTATCCCGGAAGAAGGTGTTAGGCATTCCCGAGTTCCGTGGTTCTAGAACGGTCACTCAACTGTTACATTCGGCTTAATTATCTAATTTTAAACAATTATGAACCTATGTGCAGATTTTAACTTTCAACCGCTTTTAATTAATTTTTAAAGAAAATTGAACGTCGTTTAAAACACGTCTTTGGATCGCGCCACATGAAATGCACCCGCCATCCTAAACATATTTTATTCAACGTTTTAAGATTTGATTTGGGTCACATGAATGCACACCCGAGTTTAGGAAGGTAATATTATTAAAATGCGCACCTAAAGTGACTACGCATCTTCAGGTTTGCGAGGGCCATGAAAATTTGTTAAATGGCACGTCTCGGATTCTAGATATTTTAAAAGGAATAATTAAGCGAAGGCCATGCAATTGTCTTTTTTGGCTTGGCATGTCACACCTAAATTCTAAATTAAAAGGGATTAGTTCAACTACATTCAGAGGGCCATAACTATTTATGTTATTGGTACTTCCTTTAACTGGTGATTTATTTCGCTAAAGCTAAATCAAAAGACCAACCCAGCACAGTGATTATATGGAACAATTGACGAAGCCTGGTTTGAGATACCCTTGATACAGGCCTAATACGTGAAGAAACTGGGCTCCAAGTGAAGCCCAACACAGCGACCACGCTATTTGAGCAAAAGGAAACTAACACGATCGGGCCAAAATCGATGGCCCAATACGCCACGACAAGGGAATTGGCTGTTTTTAATGGTTTAGGCTAAACCTCGAAAGTAGGCCCAATTCAAGGATATTGCAACTGAGAGGCGAAGGCCCATAATCGAGCCCTTGAAAGAATCAATCTAACAGGGCAAATATGTTGATCCACAAATCCTTTCAAATACAAAATTAAAACTCAATTTGCTACTGAATAATATGCAGCTTTAAACTACGACAAAACTCGAGCTACCTTTAGATACTAAACAGGGAAGCAAAACTTAACAAATCCTAAGAAATTAACTACTGAAACACTTAACTACATAGTCATATGGATAGCTTAACTTTAAACATACTCCTTTCAACAACACTAATACTAAAGCTGGCCTACATAACCAGCCCTTTCATGCACATTTGATACCCCCACAGTGAACTACCAAGCAAATATTACTACAGCAATCCATATTCAGAACGAACAGAAAGGAGTATAAGAAAATTAATCTAAGCTAAGCAATTTCGAAGGTGCAAAACATTGAATAACAACTACATTAGTATAAATCTCTATTCAAGTGAACCAATCTTCATATTCATCCATTTTCATACATTGGAAGGTGAGATGAGTACCTGAAATGAAAGGAACAAGTAAATAAAGAAGGATCAGCGGTTTGTACTTCAGCAGAAATTGACAGCAACAACAAAACAGCCCAGATTCAGTGATGAAACCACAGAATTAGTTCCAAATCCAATGGAACAGTAACTTCATAGTTCAAAACCCAGTAAAATGCAATTCAGCAAGCTAACACCAGCTTCAAACACATAGCCAACCAGATAAACACCAAAATCTGACCTCACTAACTAAACCTCAAACCATTTCAAAATCCAGACCAAAAAAATGTTTCAAAGAGTGAAAATTTCGAGGTGTAGAGCCAAGTCTCAATGGAACAGTAGCAGCTTTTCTTTTTTTTGTATTTTTCTCCCTTAGGTCTCTTAGCTCTTGGATTTCCTCCCCCTTTCAACCTCAAGTAACTATGCCTTTATAGGCAAGTTACTAGGGCAGCCAATATATGCTAGGTTTTGCATTTTAGACCTCTCCTAACTTTCCTTTTTGCTACTTAGCCCCTAATTTTTTGACTTGCTAACCAAGTTAAAGTGTAAAATTCCCTAGAAGACCCCTACTAGAGGCTTCTAAATCAGTTACCCAAGATTCCCCAATCCTAAACTTCCTAAATTACCCCCAAGTTCCCTAAAATTACCCCTTAAGGCCAGGCAGAACCCGGGTCGAAATGACCCAATTTAATGGGTCTGACAATCCAAATTAAACCCCCATCTGGGCCTTTGATTCTTTAGAACCCAATTAAAATATATCAAGGGTTCACCATTCTAAAGACTGACCTAAAATTACCCAAAAGAAAATTACGGAAACCTTAAACGAAAGCCCAAAACCAAAAAGAAAAATGAAAATGAATTAACTAATTTTAAACAACAACAAAATAACTATGTTGATTATCAAACAAGTCATGCATGGACAACATTGATGACAAGCATACAATGAAGACATAGAAACACAGACACAGAAAAAGAGATGAAGAAGGACGACTTAAAAAGGAAAATACGAGAAAAGAAACAAAAAAACACGTAAAAATACCTAAAACGAGCTGGCCAAGCCTTGGAGCCCTTCCTCGATCTTTCTATTTTGACCGAAAGGGGTCTTAATCATGTGTTCTCAAATGAAAACACATGACCAAGGTCCATTTCGGCCTCAATCATCACCAACTCTGCCAATTTTAGGGTTTGACATTTTAGGTCTCATTTTCGATTTAAGATTCAACGAGTTCAGGGGTGATTCGAGGGTAATGGGTTAGTGATTTAGGATGGGGAGACGGAGAGGGTTCTAGGGTGTGAATTTGGGCTGGTTTGGCGGTGGCGCCGCCAGGTTAAGGCGGTGGAATTAGGGGCGGCGGGTAGGGTTTCTATGAGAGATACGAGAGAGATAAACGGAGAGGGGGCCTGTTCGAACTGAACTGCCTCTAGAGGTTTAGGACAATTTTAAACGAAAGTGATGAAATGATCTGGGCCGTTGGATGCAACGAGACGAACGACCATGATTTGTTGAGGTTTATCGAACTCGAAACAATGTAAATTCACGCCTGTACTACGTCGTTTCTTGAGCCTTAGGGACAGAAAGGCTGTGGGCCGGGTGTGGGCATGGTTTGGACGGGTTTTACGTTGGGCCTGGGGAAAATAAAAATGGCCCAAAACAGACTTCTTATTGAAATTCTTTTCTTTTTCTTTTTCAATTTCAAATACTTTTTCTTTTCAAATTAAAATAAAACCTAAATTAATTTTTAAAACCAAATTAACCTACCCAATTAGATTAATCACTCATCATAGTATTTACAATAATTAATTAAATCCTAAATTTAGAGAAAAACTATAAAATTCAAAATTAAAGAGTTAAAATACAAAATGAAATATTTTTGTAATTTTCATACCTTATAAAATAAACTAATTTACTAATTAATCTAAAAAATGTAAAATTAAATCCTAAATGCATATGTAGCATATTTTTGTATTTTTCATTAATTAAAAAAAAATAAAAATGCACAGACCAATGCAAACGATTATCAGAAAATGCTACAAAATCCACAAAAATTGCGAATAATGAAAAGAAATTATTTTGTTTTGAATTTATGGGAGTAATTCATATAAGGCAAAAATCACGTGCTCACAGTCAGCCAGCACACTCCCGGGTGCTTATTTCTATATCGCCCGTCTCGTTTCTCTTCTTTTGTCCCCTTTTCTTTTTTTTCACTCCTTTTCCATGGGGCTACACCAGTGGTAGCGGTAACAGCCCTCTTTTGGTACACGATATTTTTGTGTTTTTCAGGGAATTTCTCAGAGCTGTTGGAGACAAGTTAGGCACACGCGCACAAGCAAAGGAGAGCAGCCTAGGCGAGCGTTAACAAAGGGGCGGCGGGAAGCTGAACGTGAGTGTGCAACAACATCGAGTACATCAAATCAATCACATGTTATGTTCTCGGGAGTTGGTACCTCCCATTTTATTGTTTCCCTCTTGGTGATAGTTAAATTGATGTTATTTTAGTTCGCACTAGTTTAATCATACAACTAGTGTGCTAGTAGCTACTTGTGTCCTTCTAGTTTGGTTCATTGTTCGTGGTGTGCTAACGAGTCTTCTTTAGCTTGTTGTGAGTGTAGTGGTTGTAGTCTGGGATGATAGAGTAAGGGCATGTCCTTGGGTGGGGCAAAGGGTGAGACGAGGGGTTGGTCAAGGTCTAGGTGGTCAGACGGGTGGCGGGGGAGGTAGGGGGGCAAGGGAGCCTATAGGTTGAGAATCAGGTCATGGAACATAGGTTCACTAACGAGTAAGTCTATAGAGTTGGCTAAGATCTCCAGAAGAGGAAGATTAATATGGTGTGTGTTCAGGAGACTAGGTGGGTTGCATCGAGGGCAAAAGACGCGGATGGGTATAAGTTGTGGTACTCTGGAGTCCCAAGGGTTAATGGAGTGGGTATCTTGGTAGATAGGCATCTTAGAGAGTCTGTGGTAGAGGTTAGGCAGGTGAATAATAGATTAATGATTATTAAGTTGGTGGTTGGTGAGTGTACTTTAAATGTTGTTAGCGCGTACGCGCCGCAAGCAGGGTTGGATGAGGAGATTAAAAGGCATTTTTGGGAAGGGTTTGATGAGATTGTGCGTAATATTCCACCCGCCGAAAGGTTATTCATAGGCGGAGATTTCAATGGTCATTTTGGGTTAGCTGCAGGTGGATATACTGAGGTGCATGGCGGCTTCGGTTTCGGGGAAAGGAACGGAGGGGCACTTCGCTGTTGGACTTCGCCAAGGCATTTGAGTTGGTGATTGCGAACTCATGTTTTCCGAAGCGAGAGGAGCACTTAGTTACTTTCCAAAGTTCGGTGGCGAAGACCCAGATTGAGTATTTCCTCCTCAAGAGAGGGGATAGAAGGTTGTGTGAGGATTGCAAGGTTATCCCAGGTGAGACCCTCGCAACACAACATAGGCTTTTGGTGATGGACGTTGGTATTAGAATAAGGAGGAAGAAGAGGTTAGTACTAGGTCGTCCGAGGATCAGGTGGGGCGCCTTGACAAAGGATAAAGACCGGGAGTTGGAAGGAAGGTTATCGACTATGGGAGCTTGTTGGAGTTATGGGGACGCAAACACTATATGGTCGACGACAGCAGACTGTATAAGGAAGGCAGCGAGAGAGGTGTTAGGGGTATCTTCGGGTTGCTCCGATGGCCACAAAGGAGACTGGTGGTGGAATGAAGTTGTCCAAGGTAAAGTAGAAGCGAAGAAGGCAGCGTACATGCAGTTAGTAGGGAGCACTAGCGGGGAGGAAAGGACGATGAACAGAGAGAGGTATAAGGTAGCTAGGAAGGAAGCGAAGTTGGCAGTCATAGAGGCAAAGACAGCGGCTTTTGCTCGCCTGTATGAGGAACTGGGGGACAAAGGCGGGGAGAAGAAGTTATTCCGACTAGCTAAGGTGAGAGAGAGGAGGGCTAAAGATCTGTACTAAGTGAGGTGCATCAAAGACGAGGACTGTAGAGTTTTGATGGGGGATGACCAGATTAAGAAGAGGTGTCAGATCTACTTTCATAAACTTCTAAATGAAGAAGTGGATCAGGATATTGTGCTAGGTGAATTGGGAAATGCCAACAATCTCCATGACCTTAGTTATTGTAGGCACATTGAGGTAGAGGAGGTAATGGAGGCAATACGTAAAATGAGTAGGGGCAGAGCTACCGGGCCAGACAAAATTCCGGTTGAACTTTGGAGGTGTGTGGGTAGAGCAGGCTTGGAATGGTTAACTGGGTTATTTAATGTTATAATCAAGACAAATAGGATGCCAGATGAGTGGAGGTGGAGTACAATGGTCCCGTTGTACAAGAACAAAGTTGATATCCAGAGTTATAATAATTATAGGGGTATCAAATTACTGAGTCATACCATGAAAGTTTGGGGAAAAGTGGTAGAAATGAGAGTGCGAAGGACGGTATCTATTTTAGACAACTAGTGCGGGTTCATGCCGGGGCGTTCTACCACTGAAGCTATCCACCTTATTAGGAGGATGGTAGAACAATACAGGGATAGGAAGCGTACGATAAGGTTCCTATGGAGGTTCTATGGAGCTGCTTGGAGGCAAAAGGGGTTCCGATTGCCTATATTAAGGTGATCAAAGACATGTATGATGGAGCTAAGACTAGGGTTAGGACAGTAGGAGGCAATTCCGAGCATTTTTCGGTTTTTAAGGGGTTGCACCAAGGGTCTGCACTCATCCCATTCCTATTTGCCCTGGTGATGGATGCACTGACTCATCATATTCAAGGGGAGGTTCTATGATGGATGCTATTTGCTGATGACATAGTTCTGATTGATGAGATGCGAGGCGGCATCAACGAGAGGCTGGAGGTTTGGAGGCAGGACCTTGAGTCTAAGGGTTTCAGGTTGAGTAGGACTAAGACAGAATACCTAGAGTGCAAGTTCAGCGTCGCACAGATAGAAGCGGGGGTGGACGTAAGGCTCAACTCCCAAGTCATTCCCAAGAGGAGTAGTTTCAAGTACCTTGAGTCGGTTATTCAGGGGATTAGGGAGATCGATGAGGATGTCACACACCGTATAGGGGTAGGGTAGATGAAGTGGAGGTTAGTGTCAGGAGTCCTATGTGACAAGAAAGTTCCACCAATATTAAAAGGTAAGTTTTATAAAGCAGTGGTTAGGCCTGCCATGTTGTACGGGACCGAGTGTTGGCCGGTTAAGAACTCACATATCCAGAAGATGAAAGTAGCAGAGATGAGGATGTTGAGGTGGATGTGCGGGCATACTAAGATGGATAAGATTAGGAATGAAGCTATTTGGGAGAAGGTGGGCGTAGCCCCCCTGGAGGACAAGATGAGGGAAGCAAGACTCAGATGGTTCGGGCACATTCAGAGGAGGAGCACTGATGCTCCGGTAAGGAGATGTGAGCGACTAGCTTTGGTGGACACGAGGAGAGGTATAGGACGACCCAAGAAGTATTGGGGAGAGGTGATCAGGCAGGACATTGCACTACTTAGGATTACTGAGGACATGGCCCTTGATAGGAAATTGTGGAGGTCGAGCATTAAGGTTGTAGGTTAGGAGGTAGTTGTGAATATTTCTTCGGCGCATCAGAGGTTTTAGGATGTTAGTGGTTTCTATTGATGCCGGTCTTTCCTACTGGTTATTGTGTACTTTCCATCTATTTTGTGTTTTATTTTTATTGCTGTTATTTTATTATGATTCTATTGATAATACTAATATATCATCTTTTGTCGTCTTCTTGAGCTGAGGGTCTCCTAGAAACAGCCTCTCTATCCCTCAGGGTAGAGGTAAGGTCTGCATACGTACTACCCTCCCCAGACCCTACTAGTGGGATTACACTGGTCCCTTTTTGTTGTTGTTGTTGTTATGCATGCTTATGTATGCATATATGCTATTTTGAAAGTATATATGTGTATTAAAAATATATAGGAAAAAATTTGGTATCAACAATCGGAGGGTCCAATTTCTCGTCATTAAGGCACTTTAGAAGATCACCTCGAAGGCTCGAGGCCACGGCCGAGTATCCTCCCTCGAGGGTCGTCGACACTCGACCTCGGGGCAGTGATGATTACGGTAATGGTATGAATGGGGAGTTCCCAAGGTACACGGCTAGGACTGACAAAGCCTAGTGGGCTACTCTAAACCCGAATCAGGGTGTCATCTAGCTGTCCCATCTCCGCTTCTTTGTCATTAATATATTTTGTACTATGTTGGGATTTCCCACTTATATAAAGGGGATCCTTATCATTTTGTAAACCTCTGTTGCTTCAGTCACTCCACACGAAATATACAAGAACATTTTCTCTACTCTCTAACACATTCTCTTCATGTTGTTGCTTCTATTTATTATCTGCATTATCGTTCATCATTTATTGCTCATTATTGGCCATAAAGAGCCTTCGTTGATTTTATTATAACTGTTAGCCATACTTCGACCACCTTCGATGGCTCCCAGCCGAGTTCCGGAATCGACCTCGAGGACCCCGAATCGACAAGCTCGAGGCCTCGATAATTAACCTATCAGTTTGGTTATCACCTTATCCTTAACTTTCATTTCGTTACTAAGTCTCACATACATAGCATCAACTGCTTAACAACTAGCATAAAAATAGATTACGTATTTTTAGAGTATTATAATCAAATTTAATTGTTATTATCATTTTTACGGTAAACAAAAGGATTATCTGATTTTAATATGTGGGTCAAGTGGGAGGATGTTAGAAATTTATCGTCTCTTCTAGAGAGACTTCTAGTGTGGCCCACATATAAGGTAATAAACTATTCACCTTATCTCCCAAAGGAAATAATATATCAGATGACATTCTGTAGTTATGCATATATGGTAGTTTCTTTGATGGAAAGAAATTACCATATATTAGGAGTCCCTAGTAATTATAATTTATGGAGAAGTCCCTAGGGCTAAAGTATTTGTCTATGAATCTCTAGCCTACCTATAAATATGCTTGTGACTCCATCAGTCTAGCATCCTACGATAGGCACAGGCTAGAAAGCTCCCTAGGTTTACTGTCAAGATTCTTCCAAGGTGACTCTACGATACTTGAACAACTATGAGTATGTTCCTTGTTTAATTTCCAATGCAACGGCTTTGCTATGTATTAAATTTCAACATTTAGAGCTTTTCTCAAAACTGAAAGCCCTATTTTAATTTAGTAATACGAGTTGTTGGTGCTACTCTAGCAACAGTAATGGGTTTTCATAGGGGCGAAGCCTAGCTATGTAATTATTTTCGCCAGGTAATTTCCCACTTCTGAGAAGCTTGAGGATATTCAGTTTTGGGATTTTAGCTTCCCATGGCATGGCCCATGGGTGTAGAAATGGTCCGAGCACTATCTGTTGTGCTCATTATTTCGCAAATTTCAAGTTCGCGATAGAACGCAAGAACTGTTAACGTAAACTCGTAGTTTTAAACAACTAAATATTACTAACAATTTCAATGTCGTTTGGGTTGAAGAAGCACAAATAGGCAATAGCCGAGCAAGGATCTACTCTTTTCTTCTGTTGTTGGCGGTTTATTAGGAGAAGATATAAGGACCATGTAAAGTTATTAAATTGCGAATACCATTAAATCAGCTCTTGAAGACCAAACTCAATTTAGTACTGAATAGCCCCCCTCTCTCTCTCTCGTGACCAAAGTGTTCTTTTATATAATCAAATGACCAAGTGTTATATAACATATGGTTTAATATCTGTAACTAGTAAAGTACAAACAAGTGGCTTTAGACTTTTCATACTCTTGTTTTGAGCATGGCTCTTTGTGATTTATCCTACCCCTGCTTCAAGAATAACCTGATAAAGGTCCCCGTCCTTCCATTTTTAACCTACAAAGAAGCCGACATCCAGTTATTCAAGCGCACACTCAAGTTATTCTTCATTTAATTTCATTAACACTATCAAAATTGACTTAGATTGCAAATTTAAACTTTCAACTTTCAACTTTTATTCAATCCAAATACAACATAAAAGATGGGAAGTGGCTTGGTCCAGCCTAGTCTTAGGTATGAACTAAGGTATCAAATTGAATACTTGACATTAGAATTGTTTTCCGAAAGTTGTTACGGGAATTGTTTTTAAAAAGCTAGAGGAGAAAATGGAATAAATTGGGTTTTGGGAAATGTAACTAACAACTAACCATAAACCAAACACAATTAGTATGACTTTGTAATTGTTGGCAGATGTGCAATTGAAGTGTCAGCATTATGCATCTAGTCTTTGCTGTTTTGAGTCTCTACAGACTATATTATGAAAGTCCTATGGTTTC